GGCAGGAAAGCACCAGGTGCAGTGTTCTGCAGGGCCGTCTGGAAATACCTCTCTTTCCACCCAGAAGCTCCACTTCTGGTAACTCCTCCTAAGAAATCACTGAGAAAGCACAAAGCCCAGGCCGGGAGCGTAGTCGTCACAGCCTTAGGTATAAAAGTGAAAAGCTGAAAACAACCTACATGTCTAAAAATAGAGGTGTTTTAGTTCAATATATTATAGCTTATGGTACAATGAAATGCCATACAGCTGCTGAAATGTTGCACAAATGTATCTTTTGTCACAGATCTGTGTAGTGAAGTGGAAAGAGCAGGTCGCAAAGCAGTATATGTGGTATAATCTTATTTTTATTAAAAAAATTCATACATGTGAGTATAGAGAAATACACTAAAATGTTAGCAGAGGTTCCTGGCGGCTGTGTTCCTGAGTGACTTCTCCCCATGGACTGTCAGCAGAACTGATGTGGGTTACCTCCACTCACCCCAGACATTCTCCTTTCCCCTTTCCCACTGCAACATTCCAGCGGCCCAGCGGCAGTCACACAGATGTGCACTGCACCCTCGGAGATGGGGGAGGAACAGTAACCTTGGAGGACACAGCTGCCGCCCCCCCACCCCCCTAGCCTTGACCAGCTGGACTATCACAGGACTGAGACAGGACTTCCCTCCTATTGGAGCCAGTGCATTTTGGTCCCTTTCGGACCACAGGGTACATACCATGGCACTTATAAAGGCCATCTCTAGGAAGGCAAGCTACTTCCAACTCCCACTGCCCTAGCTGCAGTAAATCTAAGTTCCAAATGCCCGGTAGATCAAAGTTCCCAAATAGATCCCAAAACAGCAGCCATGTGTCCGCTGTTTCCAAGCCTCCCCATTTGGGAAAAGAACATCTGTGGCCACTCGATGTCCTAGAGACTTCACTTGATATCTCAATCTGTATCCCACAGCAACGATCTCTACTCACTTGATTAACCCAATACTTCCGGAAGCTAAAGCGTTTCTCCATTTCTTCTATTCCCATTCTCTGTTACTCCACTTAGGTTTAAGAGATAGGAGGAAGGCCTTACGCACAACTTTCGGGAAAGACCCATGTCAGGTGCGTTATGGTGTGACGTCAGCACGCTCTTACAGGTATTCCCCATAACTGGCAGGAATGACTGAACCATCGAAATATGTTCTCCATAGACAATGAAAACCCATCTGACCGTGACGGGCTAGGAGCAAAGACACCCAGAACCACCCGAATTACATGATGGGCATCTCAGCAGAAAGCCGAGCAAGGGAACTTGTATCAGTTTCGTTCACTAATTGAGCACTAGTCATGTGCCGACACTGTGCTAAGTTCTGAGGATGGCAAACAGACAAAACAAAGAGTTCTTCCTTTCGAGGAACTCACTGACTAGCAGGGGTGTCTGATAATGGTACAGTTAATTCTAAGATGCTTTTCACATAATTCTGACCTACTGTGCTACGATGGTACTAAATATGGTTGATTCTGAATAGGTGAGTCCCAGGGAGTTTCAGAGAAGACAGGACATGTTGAGCTTGAAGGACAGAACTTATCGGAAGAAACCTGGGCAAGGGCAAGAGGTGAAGGTTGAAGAACAAGGGGAGTGGGCTGAGAAGAGGGGGATAGGCACGAATCTATTAGAATGTTCTCTACTGACCTGAATGCTTTCTGAGGAAACCTCACCTGACCCCAAGCGAGCTCTGATCCACATGCCAGTAGAGCAGCGTGGTTAAGAACATGGGCTCTGGAGTTGAACACTCTTCAGGCTGAGTCCCCCTGCTGCCACTCAGTAGGAGAGCACAAGCTCTGGAAGCAGACTCTGAGGTCAGGTTCTGGCTCTACCACTTCCCAGCACCTTGAGCAGTTTATCTAACCTCCCTGTGCCTCAGTGTTCTCATCTGTAAAATGGAAGAATAATAGTGCCTACCTCCCAGGGTGGTTGTGAAAACCGGCTGAGATACCCCAATAAAGGGTCCAGCGCCTGGCACATAGTAGGCACTGATATCATTCCTAGTAACCACACAGACGCTCATTTCCTTTGTCTGTAAATTAGGGATTTGGAAGATTGAAGAGACAGTCAAGCCCTAACATGGTGTCGGCCCATAGGAGGGTCTCGGTAATGACGTTGGCTTCTGATTCCTAATAAACCACGGCTACGATAACCTGGCTGGGGAAGAGCTCCGGCCACAGCTGGAAGAATTAGATGTGGGAGTTCAATTTCCAGGCTCCGATTGAAATCCTTGGTCAAGTCAGACATTAGGTGACCAACAAAAAGTTTAGGGGACCTAAGGAAGTGTGTAGGTCAATTCCACCACCCACAGCAGCACGCAAGTGGCACGGGGAGGGGTGTGGCTGGGGGCATGCCCATTCACGGGGCAGGTGTGCTCAGCTCCAGCCTGGTCTGGCCCTCGGGGAATGAGAGATAGCACTAGCCTTCTTTCCCAAGAAGACAGAAAGCCAAATTTTTAACAGTTCCTGATTTGGAAATGTTAGTAGCTAATTCAAAAGCATTAGAAACAGATGCTGCCTCGGGTGCCGGCAGGCCAGTGGTGCACAGCTTCTGATTTCAGAGTACTCTGTACACTAACACTCATCAAATCCTTGTCAGCAGCCTCCCCTTAAAAATGTTCAAGGACCTTGATGAGGAAAGAACAGCCAAGAATATTCCTACATAGAGCTAGACCAATAGCCTCTTGAGCTCCTCAGAAGGCTGGCCTTTCTCTGGGGCATCTCCATGAATTAGAGGGGCAATTTCCTCTGTTATTAAGTCACTTCTAGTGGTCCTCTCACCAAACGCTTATCTTTTAAGCTAACATTTACATCAGGCTCACTATGTGCTAGGTACTGTTTTAAGCATTTTACATATACTGTCTCAGGTAATCTTCACGACAACCCAATGAGAGCGTGGTAGATGGGGAAACTGAGGCACAGAGACGTTAAGAACTTGCATAAGGTCACATGTCCAGTACGTGACAGAGACGGGAGTTGGACCAAGGCAGATGGTTTAGCACTGGTGCTCACAACCATCATGCCATGCGGCCTCTCAGCTGGCTAACCCTCAGGGCCTGGGTCCTCCTGGGCTGCAGGCCACCTGCTCTAGGCAAAATGACCCTTCTCTCTCCCTGTGTGACTCTGCATGTGCCTACAGAAGTCAGCAACTAGCCTGAGCCAGCTCTCCCATGAACCAGCCAGTGTGTCCCAAGAGCCGAGTGGTTTAGTCCCACAGCTGGGGGCCCACTGCTAACCATGAATCACCCAGGGCCAGACTCAGGGACCAAGTCTCCTGTCCTCCTTGCCTACTTTGTGTGGCAGCCATGAGACTAAGCTGGCAGTGCCACCTCTAGACAATCTGCTGCCTCCAGGATTTCTCAGAGCCGATACTAAGACCTGAGCTCTCGGTGCTAACTACGCATGTCCTAGAGCCGACCCCACCCCCAACCAGCCAGCCCACTCCTGGCTACAATCCACCAGGTCCCTGATCACGCAGGCGGCTGGAAGCTGCCAGACAAAGCTTTGTTCTCATTGCAGAATATTGTTCCTGGCCCGAAATCTCACACACTCACACACACACGCACCCCTCCCGTAAGCCGAAGGCACATGAGGTAGCTGAGTGAGCACCAGACAGAGAAGAGGGCAGCTATGTGGCACAGACCCCAGCACACCCCATGACTCAGACAGATGCAAACACAGGTCAGGTGCTCCAGGACCCCGAGACAGCCTCAAAAGACTATGCCCATTAAACTGCCAGCATGCCCTATCAGGAGTGACAGGAACTTTTCCCAGCCCGCAGGGATGTTTAGAAGATTAATTAGAAGAACCTGGCAGTAACCGAGTGTCCCCAGGGAGCTGGATGAATATGTCACCCCCATCACAAAGCTCTTAAGTGTGCCTTGGGCTGGGTCTTTGTTCAACATTGCATAGGACAGCCAAGTCAGATAGCTGGCAGCACACAAGCAGCCAGCTTACGGCTGCTCTGGAGGTTCAACCCACCCGAGGCCCTGGCCACAGTCAGTTACAATTCATGGTTTGGACAGTTGGTGGCAGGAAGGAGAGAAGCTGCTTCAGATGGTCCCCTTCTTACCATAACCTTTGGAAGTCCAATTCAAAGGGCCAGTCCTTCTCCAGGAAGCCTTCTTGACCCAAGTGCCCTGCAGTGACCTCTCTTGCCTGAAAAGCTGTTGCCCACGCCCAATTTTTACCATTTGCTGCCTTGTTTGGGGCTGGCATTTTAAAATATCATTTAGTAAGCATTTAGCATGTGCCAGGTACTATGTTAAGCACTTTACAAACATTATTTGACCTAATCCTCATAACTCTGTGAAGTGGATATGATTATACCCATTTCATAGATGAGGAAGTGGCAACTTGAAAAGGTGAAATAATATGTGTGTCCTGCCTCTGTCATTTCTCCTTCCATGGGACTGCACCCTCTCACAGCAGATTACAAACACCTTCAAAGCGACCAGGATGATATTTACCCTTCCTTCTATGCCCTGAGCCCCTAGGCACACAGTTAATCACCGGATGACTGGCTGTCACAGTGACTGCCATGTGTAGTGACCTCTTAGCCTTAATTAACCCAGAGGTGCCATTAATGAGTAAAAATGTGGTCAGCCATGTGGGCAGTTGGCCATAGGATAAGAAACTCTGTATGTGCTGTGCAGCATCTCAATTACCAAGAAAAGTCTCTGCTTAAATTGCATATTAATTATCAGGAAACTACTGAAATGATTTTCCTTCATTTCCTTCAGTGGTAAGTGAAGAACTAAGGCTTTGCGGCAACAATGTGCTGTTGGGCTTAGAATTATAATACCCAACGCAAACCGGGGGGCCAACCAGGCGGCCTTGCAGGGAGGTGTGGGGGTTAATCACCAGTTAGGGACACAGGGGTCATACTGCAGGTCCTAGGCAGGCTCCGCAGGCTCCAAACAGCGCAGCCCGGGAGCTTGCAGGGAGCGTGGCACACGCCACATGCCTTACGCCTCACGCCTCACCTTTGGTAGCGTAGGCTTCCGCGATCATCCGCAACCGGTATGGAGGGACGGCGGTCAGCGGCAAGTCATCCAGGCCCACCCGGGCATAAATGTTGAGAGCTTCTTTATAATCTCCTTCCACATAATTCAACTTGGCCATCATCAGATTGGATTCTTGTAGGAATTCTGACTAGAAGGAAAAGGAGAGGAAAAACATTTTCCTATGGTATTATGGGGGATGCTCTCTCAGGGCTCAGCCATCTGCGGCTCTTCATGCAGAAGTGTGAGCACAGGCGTTCACAGCAGTATTGCTCACAGCAGCCCTGAAGTGGAAACAACCCAAAACTCCATCAGCCGAAGAATGGATAAGGAAAACGTGGTCTGGTCACACAGTGGAAGACTACTCAGCATGATAAGGCAGGAAGCACTGATATGTGCTAAAACATGATGAACCTTGGAAACGGTATGCCACGTGAAAACGCCAGGCACAAAAGGTGACGTACTGTACGCTCCCGTTTATATGAAATGGCCAGAGTGGTCAAATCTATAGAGGCAGAAACTAGATTAACTGCCTGCCTAGTGCTGGGAGGGTGGGAATAGGAGAAGTCTGCTAGTGGTTACAGGTTTATTTGGGGGTGGGGTGGGGGGGGGTGACAGAAAACGTTCTAAAATTGAGGAAAAGGTTGCACAACTCTGTGACTAGCTTAAAAAAAACCAATGACTTGTACACTTGAAGTGAGTGGATTACATGGCATGTGCAATATATTTCAATAAAGCTATTGCAAAGTAAAACAAAACAAAAACCCTTAGGCTGCTGGGCTGAGCTGGGGCAAAATGGAAGGAATGCTTTGTGAACAAAACATATGAGCACCTGTCTCAAAAGAGGAAGTTTCCACAGGCGTCCTAGTGTGTTCTGCCCACGGCACTGGGAGTGTAACCCAAAACGCCCAAGGAGAGAGGCTTTCCAAATTGGTGCGAAATCAGGACTTGCTTTCTTTCCAGGGGCAATCTTTTCTCGCTGAGCCATTCCAGCTTGTTAAGGTTACTGACCCTGGGTCCCCTCCCCAGAGGCTGCAAGCTCCAGCAGCCCTCTGATGTCCAGTCAGTCAGGAGAGGGGGGCTTCCCCAGGTCACAGCCACCAGCCTCATACTCCTAACTTCCCCCACCCCCACTCATGGCAGAGAAAGAAGAGGCCACCCAGCCATCTATATAAGGAAATAGATTTATCACCCTCTCCCAGGCCTTCTCCCTGGAACCCAGGCTATACAAGGCTAGATTGTTCAGCGTATGGAAGTGCATGCTCTGTCATCTACAGCTGTGACAGGGTAGGCAACACACAGGTAACCAACCAGATCACAGCAAAGCGGCTGTTTCAGCCAAGGGGCCCACTCCTGGACACTTCTTGAAAGGGAGCAGGAACAACAGGCAGCTGGAGAATAGGGTGTGTGGGGGGGGTGGGGGCGGAGCAGGGCAAGTGAAGGTGAGACGAAAGGGGAATCAAAAGAAGCAAGGAAGGAAATAGTGGAGAGGGAGAGGGAAAGTTGGGTACAAATAGAGAACAGGGTAGATGAACAGGAGGGCAGTGCTTAAGGTCTCCTGTACCCTAAGGATTAGGGTCATTGCTTGGGCAGAGGGAAGTCCCCCCACATCAAGGCACCAGGCCTGCTGTCACCAGTATGAAACCTCGCACAGCTCTAGGCCAGAGCAGTCCAGGACATTCATGTGTCACATATTTTAGGGAGGAAATTGTGCAGTAAGTGGCACTCCTAACTTCTCTCTTTCCTAGAGTGGAACAGGGTCAGGTTGAGCTCTGGACCACATAGGACAGCTTATAGTGCCATTTATCAGGATAATGTGTCATTGAAGGCTCTCATCAGACTCTATTGGGCAGAAGCCCCCACAAGGTGGTCAGCCAGCCTAGGGGTTCACACATCAATTGCACAGGGAGCTGGCCTGCTTCCAAGACAAGCCATGGCAGCATGACGCACCCCGAACATCAGCCAGTTCATCTGTGGGGATCATCCCCAACCACACAGCTCAGAAGAGGTGCAGCCAGCATCCCCCAACTGTCCCCCCTCATCCCAGAAGTCCACAGTACCTTGAGGTTCCCTCGGTCCAGGGTGGCGGTCAGATGCTTGCGGACCTCAGTCAGCTGGGGCCTGGGGCCCCGGGGACTGGCCCCCTGCCTCAGGGGCTGCTCCTTGAGGTACTGCTCCAGCTTCGACTCCCCGAGGAGCAGTTCCGCCATGTCATCTACAGAGGACAAAGGGAGAACCTCCATGGGCCGAGGAATGGTCTGTGTGCTGGGAACCCCCCGAGGACCCCAGGACCACCCCGCCCTGGCTCCACGCCCCAGCAAGGCCCTTCTGGAACTTCATAACCTTAGACGGGGCGATAGCGAACTCCATTCATTCGTAAAGACTGTTCCAGGAGTATGTACTCAAACAGGTGGTGGCCCAAGCGTTCAGTCATCCCTTTGTCATACAGTTAATGAACTGAGAAAGATGAATACATATGAATACGGAGAGAACTCCAGTTCCGCAGAATAAACACAGAGTTGTCTTATGATTTATTCAGTATGATCTTTACAAAACACACACAAAGCCCAATGGTCGGTCTTTTCCAAGAGTGATACAGTGAAACCTCCCAGCTCTCCTGTGCTCTGCAGCCTCACACATGGATATGAGTGGGTGGAACGTCTTGTACAGTCCGACTCTTAAAACGAGTTTGTGTCGGGCCGGCCAAGTGGCGCGATGGTTTAGAACTGGCTTGAGATGCCAGAGGGCCCCGGTTCGGATCCCACATATGAGGGCCAGTGACACTGCCCTCTACAGCTAAGATGCTGAACAACAGCTCAACCTGGAGCTGGAATGCTGGGAGTCGCCGGCAATGGCTAGGCTGCAGCCCCTGTGGCAGTGGGTGGCCATAGGCTACCGTGTGTAGCCAGCAGCCAGCGTGAGCGGCCAGCAGCCGCAGTGAGCGGCCGTCCAGAAGCCAGTGACTGATCTGCCTCACCGGGGAAGAGCACAATGATGGTGCCAACTTGGGCCAGTGAAGCAACGTCCTCCACAAGTAGACTGAAGAACAAACTGACAGCAACTTGTCTGTTCCCCTTCCCCCAATTCCCCAGCACTGTTCCCATCCCCCCAATTCCCCAATAAAAATCTTTAAAAAAAAAAACAAGTTTGTGTCAAAATGACCTGAATGCATGCAGTCTGTTTCTGTCTAAAACTCAAACCATGCAGACACTGACCGCTGGGAATGTCTGTGTGAAGACTTTATTACTAAGCGTACAATATCTATACGTTCAACTTGGTTAGTATCTGTGTTGGGTCGTTAATAGAATCAAAAGCTCGGTCCAGAAGCAGCTCTTATGAATCCACACAGCCAGACTATTCTGAATAAACCCCAACAATTCGTACACCAGCGTGAGCAAGGCCTATTTCTCCTGTGATGGGACAGAACCTAACTGCATTAAAATATTAAAGCAGCTTTAAAAGCTCTGGAAGGATAGACCTCAAAATCATGAAAGTAGTTACCACTGGGATGCAGGGAAAAGAACCTCAACTGGGGTTAGTGGCCAAAATTGACTTTAGCTTTAGCTTTAACATTCCGGTCCTAGAAAGAAGAACAGGTACATTTCCTATTTGTGCAATCTAAAATTAACAGAGATTCTGGGAGGCAGGTCCACTGAGGGCTGAGAGCTGCAACAAGAGCCTTTCCAAGTCCTCTGGTGAGTGACCCGAAGCTGCCAGATCTATGGTTCTCAGCAGCGCCATGGGCTGTGTACTGGGAAGCTAAAACGATCTTTTGGAGATGAGACCTAAGGTCCTGGGAGGAGCTGAACACCACCACAACATGGCTGACTGAAGTTACTGAATTCGAGAATTCTTTAGTTGTCCAAGAAGAAAAAGCACGTTGCCTACAAGATGAGGAGAACATCGGACAGGACCCATAGCAGTGTCTGCCACCAGAAGACAATGAAGCAATGTCTGCAGAGGGCTCGGGGACGCAAAGTGTAACCAAGTGGGCTGGACCCAGCAACACACGAGTCAGGTATGAAGGCAGGCGACAGCATCCTTCCAGAAGGATGAGCCCTACTTGAGAATGAAATCCAGCTGATCAAGAAATCCAGGGCTCTGGCATGAAAGGAGGACGTGCGGGCAAGGCCTGATGGTGAGCGTCTGGGCATTTACATAGAGGGCACTCAGTGCTTACGAGAATTACAGTTACACACAGAATCTGACCGTTATAAACCAACACAATGCAAACAGTAATATATCAAAAACTGGAAGGAGCTTCAGAGGGTCATGTCCTCATCTTTGAAAACATTGTGCATTTAAAGAAAGAAACAACAACAATATAACATCAGTATTTTTAAAACTTCACTGGACTCTTTTAAGAAGTGATGTCAGTGGCCAAGACATGGAAACAACCAAAGTGTCCTTTGATAGATGATTGGATAGAAAAGTTGTGGTATATATACACAATGGAATAATATTCTGCCATAAGAAAAGATGAAATTGTGCCATGTGCAACAACATGGATGGATCTTGAGATTATAATGCTAAGTGAAATAAGTCAGGCAGAAAATGTCGAGAACCATATGATTTCACTGATATGTGGGATATAAAACTGAAAACAACAAGAGAACAAGAAAAACAAATGAAGAAACCAAACTCATAGACACAGGCAATAATTGAGTGGTTACCAGAGGGTAAGGGGGGAGGGGTTGGTAGATGAGGGTAAAAGGGGTCAAATATGTGGTGATGAAAGGAGAACTGACTCTGGGTGGTGAACACACAACGTGATATATAGATGATATATTACAGAATTGTACACTTGAAACCTATGTAACTTTGCTAACAATTGTCACCCCAATAAACTTTAATTAAAAAAAAGAAAGAAAAAGTAATGTCACACGGTGAAGTGTTTATTTGGAGCTCAAAAATCCCTTCACTTTCCCCTTAGTTTCCTTTTTTCCCATGAATACTTATTAGTACCCATTTTTTAAATAGAGTGTTACTGTCCAATAGAAATATATTCAAGCCATGTTATTTTTTAAATTTTAGTAGCTATAATAAAAAAGAGATGGATGAAATGAATTTTAATAACATTTTATTTAACTCAATATATCCATAGTATTATCAGTTTAACAAGTAATTGATATTTTTTAATTATTGAGATATTTTATGTTATTTTTTTCATGTTAAATTTTCCAAATCCCAGTGTTATTTTATACTTACAGCACATCTCAGTTCAAACCTGCCACATTTCAACTGGTCAGTAGCTACACACAGCTAGTGGCTATCACACTGGATGAGAGAATGATCACTGTTTATAAAAGTATGTCAACTTCTCTTTATTTCTGTCTATATCCCAAGATTTCTAGAATGAATACCATTAGAGTAAATGATAGGAACTTCTGAATGATAAGATTCGGGACAATTTTTAAATTCTCATCTTTGTAGTTTGAATTATTTTTATTAAGTAGAATCATTCTATATTACTATTAGAAAAATTGTAACTTCTTTTACAACTGGAATTATATAGTGGTTACTTCTGAGTGGTCTGCTATCAGTATATGCTGGATTTCTCTTCTGCGTATTTTAAAGTTCCAAAAAATAAAATACAATACAATGAGTTCAGCGTCCTCGGTTTTAATCTCAGTTTGGCACTCTGTGACTTTGGCCCTATGACGTAATCTCAGCGTTGGTTGGGGGGGGGAGAGGGGAGGGATTCTGAGAAAGCCCCTCTGTACACCTGAGCTAAGGATTCCTCCCTCCCCATTATTCTACTTTATTCCCCATTATTCTGCAGGATGCCTCACCCCTCTGCTCACCGCCCTGCTGCAGGCTCCTCTGACCCTGCATCTGAACATGGCTGCCCTGAGCAGCACTCAGTGGGGCAGAGGCACTTTACTTACCCTCTTAAAAGCATCAATTCCTCCATTTATAAAATGGGAACAATACTGAGAACATAGCAAGACTGTGGACCAGAGCTAATGAGTTCTAGGGGGAAAAAAAACACTGTGACCTGGAGGGACTACACCTTTCAACTGAGCCTTAAAAGGATGAGTAGGATCTGGACGGGCAACCAGGACAGGGAAGGGCAAACCAGGCTGAGGGAACAGCATAGCACAAGAAAGGTGCAAAGGCAAGGCAAGTACACGGATCCAAGTGGCTGGGGAGTAGGGTGTGGGTGAGTGAGAAGACAAGGATGGAGACTCGAGCTGGGAGCAGGACGTGGGGACTTCAAGGTTCCCCTCCCCCCAACCCCCTACTCAGCCCCGTCCCCACAGGGTGATGTCCAAATCCCTTGGCTCCTGGTCAAGGTCCTGGCCAAGGTCTCCGCATGTGCCAGCCTGGTCCCCTCCTCAAGTGTTCGCAATGCTTTGGAACACTGAGAACACCACCCGCCATCACTTGGTAAACGCCTACTGCTCTTTCAAGCACTGCTGACCTGCCCCAGCTCAGGCCACCCTCAGGTGCCCCAGGAACCGCAAGCACCCTAACCTAGATGTTTACATGTCTGTCTGTCCCTTCTAGACTGTACGGAGTGGTATGAAGATGAATCCGTGTGTATTTATTTCTGAGTCCCAGGGCTGAGCACGGAGTCTGGCACAGACCCAGTGCTCAATAAATGGCGGATGAATTCCACGCCAGGCCGAGGCATTTGGACTGCATCCTCCAGGGTTAGACTGGTCCTGCCTGTGGCAGGATCTGCCAGTTGTTCCTGAATATTCCTTCTCCCCTCCTTCCTTCAGTATTAGAATCCCCAAGTCGTATCAGCACACACAGCCGCCCAGGTAAAGACTACACTTTCAGGCTCCCTGGGAGCTAGATGCTGCCTGTGGCTACGTTCCAGCTGCTGGGACGTGAGCGGAAGTGCTACAGGCAGCGTCTGGGTCATGACCTTAGAGGGAACCAGCTTGCACCCCAGGCTCTCCTCACCTACCCACCGGATGGAATGTGACTGTGCTGATGGAAAATGGCGCATCTCTCCGAGACCATGAGATGGAAGCCATCTGCTGAGGACGGCAGACATAATGATCTTTGGTCTCCAACACCCAGGAGCCACCACCAAGCCCTGGACTGCTGCTTACGATCAATTGTTACATGAGAGGGAAACATGAACTTCCTCCTGTACTTGCTTAAGTCACTGTTACTCTCGCCTTTGTAACACTGGCCAGACTGGTGTCCAAACTAACCTCCCAAACACGAAACAGGCTTTAAATGGAGAACCACTGAGAA